TTTAAAAATTAGAAGGGTTCGAATAGGAAGGAAAGTTCGATTAGGTTATGCTGGCAGACCAAAAAGCTCACGCGTAGTCTATCAAAGTCCATTGCGACAACAGATCAAAATCTTACTTTTTAGCGATAGTGTACATCGCTTAGGATGCGCGTGTTATTAGCGAATTTTATTAGGATTTCAACAGAAACTTCAAGTATGTGCTCCAATTCTGTTAAACTGACAGCCCCTAAGTATTTTCATCGAGTACTCCAGAGAACCGGGCAGTTACACAGCAGATGCTTTGGAGTTTCCTTTGCATCCGGTTTGTTGCATTTGCTACAAGCATAGCTACCAATAGAAGAGAAAAGACAACAACAAAAATTTTAGTTATTTTATTGAAAAATGGTTGACCATACACTGCTGTTTAAAGTTATTTTTGTTATTGTTTAAAAAATATTAAAAAAATAAGTTTGATTATTTTAACTACATTATTTTAACTAAAATGAAGATAACTTTTGTTAAACATTGGCAATATCAATTATAAACAATCAAAAAAAAATTACATTTAGTAAGGCTTTTTTCGGTATTTTTTTTTTTTCAAAATTGAGAGGAATTCCACTGTATTGCTGAGTATATAAGTTTATTGGATAGCTTCATTATTGTTGTTCATAACAACAAATCAATGTTTAAAATAAGCCGACCTCAATTATGATAGGCTTAGAGGTCTATCCAAAATTTTTGTTAAAGTGGATAATAATTTAAAAGACTGGGGTTCCGTTCGGGTAGAAACCAGATGCGTTAATCTAATAACAGATAAACAATATTTGCACAGATTACATTTCTATATTCCTCCGAACGATTCGGTATCAAATTTCTTACATTAATAATGAAGTAAAAAAAGGCATTAAAAGGTAGTTTTGAAAGGAGAATCACTGTTAGTGAATTTTTGATGAGTATAACAATTAATTGCTTAGTTGCTGATTTACGTTTCCTTCACATATATATGATATTTTATGAAATCTAGTTCAATTTTTGTTTAAAGGTGTCTTAAAGGTGTAAGAAAAAAATCTTGCAGAGTCCTTTTATGGAGTTCACTCTTAAATAATCCCTTTAACTTAGTTGTTATAACTTCATTAACAAGTACACACCTCAAAACGTGTGAACAATTTTTTTTATGGCTTAGCTATATTTACTTCATAAATGTTAAGCTTTTTCATAATCTACTTTAAATTTTCGCTGTATTTTGGAATAAGATATATAGCATTCCCCTGCTTGTAATCTATTATCTATACATTCCTGAGTGGTGGTTTTTGGTGAGTTTAATTCTCACACGGTCACAAAACAACCTACTGTAAAATTAAAAATAAATAATAAGAAGCTATAGGGGATAAGCACTCCCTGTCCCATAACATAGCTCTAAACTGTTAATATTGTTATGAGCATAATACGATCTCTGTTAATATACAAAGAACAAAGTCATAGCTTCAATATATAAAAAATGTTATTTAGCAATTGTAGTGGAACTATGTAGTATAAAATTTCATGTGTAAATAAGTATTAAATCAAATAATGTCATTGTTCAAATAGTTTATATATTTATATATTTATTTTTTATTATGTACTTTTTATAGAATAAAATTTAATTTTAACATAAAAACTTTTTATTTGTTAGTCGTGTTCATCTAAGTCATACAATCCCACAACGACACAAATAAAAAGTAAAATAAAAATTTTAAAATTGCTATATAAAATGAAATACGACAGCGCAAAGGACACCTGCGCCCAAAGGCTCTTGGGTTTAGTCGAAATATGTCACTGTTGGAAACTCAAATAATTTGCTTAAAGTTTAAAACTGTTTAAATGTACGCTATATACTTTAAATATATACGCTTTATATATTATAAAATATTAAGTTTTTTGTGGCCTTTTCTCGACTTGCTTATATACTCAACATACGGGAACTCACAAATAGCTTTATTACTTCAACGAATTTTATATCATCATTAATACACAAATATCGAAGACGGCCTACTATAGGTATTTCAAAGGTCGTAAGTATTATTTATGTTTTTTTTTTTTAAAAAATTTAATATAACCATTTTTGGTTGTAAATTTTTAATGTTCAAATATCTGTTCGTTTTCATATAAGAAATGTCTCTGGCAAATTTTTCATGGATTGAATCAAACACTCAACCACAAAGTATTACGAGTCACTACAACTGAGTCGGAGTCTGAGTCTTACACGAACGAACTAAAGTACGTCAATGCAATATTGTATCTGGTACTCTGGAAGGTTTAATGCTCGTATGTGGTGTGCTGAATTTATGGCACATAAGCGTAAGCACTTTTGCACAGAGTAACTTCATCAATAGATTGATTACCAACCGTAAAATTTTGCAGTTTACTTACTCAAAGTAAGTTTTTTGTTTCCATTTTATTTGCATAAAATGTCAAAAAGTATTTCAATTTTGAAAAATATTTTTCAATGCTATAAAATTTTTATTCGAAAATCTTTTACAGGGTCGCGTGGTTTGAACGAATCGCCAGAAGTTGTGCGATTAAAGTGTTTCATTAATAAATAAAAAATATTATGCTAATGGGTATAATGGAGGAGGACTAATCTAATCTAATTATAATGCTATAAAATGTGTTCAGAATATTATAATAGTGTTTAATATTAGAATAGTAATATTAGAATAGCAAAACCCATTATTTTATAATCGTCAATAAAGCACTGATCTAGTAACGAATTAATATGAGTAGCTTCCGTGATCACCCTACCTATAACCATGCAAAGTGTCATTATTAATTCAAAGTAAATAGTAATAAATAAATAGGATCTATCGGAAGAAATGCTAGGAAATCCCTTATACGTGCGAATTTTTTACTAGCATAGGTAGTCAATATAGATTAAGCTTTAATAGTGGAAATCTATCAACATTTTTCCTTAATCCCAGCATCAACGGTTATCAGTCATGTAAACCCCAATTTCTTTTTCCGTTTTTGTTAATAATTTATAAACATATTGTTATAGTTGTATTTAACAACTATTTTTGTAAATCAAAAAAGTTTAGTTTCAAGGAAACTCAGTAGTTGAGGAAAAGCAGAAATCGAAAAAGAATTACATAAAACCATAAGCGCAAAAAAAAAAATCAATCAATCAAACTATATTAATTCACCTTTATCTACTTGTCTGCCATCTTGATCAAAAAATTTTAAAAATTTATTCAGAAAATTAAAAGTATTAGATTACTTTTTTCTGATAATCAATATCGCCCCCTTCAAAGTACTCTCTTTTGACTAAGCAAAGCTTGTTACAAGTACTTACTTAGTGCTGTCCGTCCCTCGTGCTGGAGCGCAGGACCTCAACGACTATTGTGCGTTTCTAAACTCCTGGTCCACGGTTCTTCGCCATGTTTTAACTGAGGCTACAGGCCGACTGCTATCTTGTGGATTCCAGCGTAAAGCTTGTTTTATTATACAGGATGTTATTTACCTGAGCGTTCCTTCCATTTCCTTCTTTTGATTTCAGTGGCGGCTTGTATTTGTTTCATGCGTTCCCTAAGTTCAGTATTGAATATACGTTCTGGCCATCATACTTTCAGTATTCTTGGATACGTGATTGAATAGGAGCCAAGTTTTTCCATGTTTTGCATCGAAGCTTAGCACACGTTGATACAGGTACAACTGTTAAAACATTTTATATAATAAAACTTCTGTTAAAGACTTCCTAATCGGATGCTATAACACAGTTGATGGAATTTTTTTTATCATTTTAATAAAGAAACGCATGGAGTCAAATCAAACAGATTCAGTGGCTGTTTGATTATATTCGTACCGTCATTAACTCAAGAATAAAGATGTCAGTCTGAAAAAGTGCATTATAGTGGTGTAAAATCTATAAACTACAAATCCTATATCTTTTTTAAGAATTACTTCACACAAAAAATTAATGTGGTATAGGACAGCACAAAGGTATTATAGCTTTCTTCGTATAATTCCACCTTTTTATATATATACATTTTATATATATAGTATGATTAAAAACCTTTAATGCTTATTTAATTTCCTTTAAAGTAGAACCTAGCTTTACATGATCCGTATAACAGTACTATTTCTTTAAAAAGATCTTCAATGATAATTTTTCTATTAGCAAACACAATATTAAATTAATATGCCATTTCTCCCTCATTGACTGAACTGTTAGACAATCAGACCTTGCGTTATCTACAATGCTTTCTCAATGGTTCTGAAAGCATTTGTTTATACTATATACCTATACATTTGAGGTTATAACATAACATCACCGCTAATTCAAAATTCAACAACTTTCTCGTCAGACATTATCCGATTAAATAATTCAAAGCACAGTGATATACGTCTTGTTTGTTTCAAAGTTAAACAACAGACTTACTAACTGATTATATATATAAAAATATTAACTATATATTATATGATTAACTATTTATTAAAATTTAATTTCAACTTTAAACAGAAAAGCCACTAATAGTATTCTTGTCGGTCTTCTAATTAAAAACTAATATAACATATCTTAACTACTATCAGTTTGTCTATTAGTAAATATATGGCAAACTAGTGTACTCAGTACATTGATACTTCGCACACATAGTCGGTTGTGAACGCAAGATATTGACATCTTCTGATAGCACAAGAACTTCGAGAATTTATATATTTATATATGTACTTCCCAAAGAGACATATTTCTGATATTATTATAAATAAATTAATATATGCATATAAGCAAATATATTAAAATTGTGAATTTTTTTGTCGTTATGTAAATATTGAGAAATATAAAAAGACCTCAGCAATCAATAAATTTGAATATTTTGTATCCTCACATCTCACAAGTAAAGATCTCACAGGTGAAGAGCTCACAGGTGAAGAGCTCACAGGTGAAGAGCACTGTAATTAGTATTTCGTGATTTATTTTACTATTCAATCTATAGGTCACTGAATAATAATCCTACTAAATGTGTAAATAATTAAAAATTTTAAAATTTGGTTTATGTACGCATTATTTAATAAAAATAGTTTATGTAGGTGTACGGCTTTCCTTAACAACATAGATATTAATAATGGTTATAATTTATTTTTTATGGTATTTAGATAATTCGGTGTTCCATCAAATTGTTGAAGCTTTGCAAACGATGTCTTCATAAGTGTTTACTACCATCTAACCAGTAACTTATGTGCCTGTAGGACTTGTAGTTGTAGGATTTGCCGCATATTAACTGCAATAGAAAAAATGGTATGTTCACATAAAGTTTCTTGTTAGTTCTTATAAAAATTTCAATATTCTTCTTACCATAAACACATTTTATTAATTTGCTTTTAAATTTTGTTTTTAATGTTCTTCTTCTTCAGCGGCTTGGCGCGGTTGTGGCAAGTTAGCCCTCTCCAACTCTGCTGCCGTTGCAAAGCCATTACGATATTTCACTGGAATTTCTCTTGGCATTCGAACACGAACAGCTGGTAACCTTCCATTGTGCATTTCGCGCAAATTTCTTATATTTGGATCGACTTCGCCAGCCGGTGGACCGTCGTTAGCATTTCTGATTGGGTTTTGAGCATTATTTGGATCCATGTTTAAGGTAAAGTGCTATAAATTAATGTGAAAAAAAATTAAATAATTATAAATTATTAAAGTTTAGATTCATGTCGATATACGCGTGCCCGCCATATTGCACAAATAACCTACAAATGCATTTAAAAAAAAATACGATTTAACCGAAAACTGTACCGATATATTCATTTGTGAGATTTTTTGTTTGTTTTATTATATTTTAAGTGATATAAAGTGTTTCAATTCTAATTCAATCATTTAGATTATACTAAATATTCTAGATTCTGAACAACAATACCGTCGCGAAACATCCGTAAATTTATATTGATATAATAGTTCGAATTACGAAATAATTAACTTTCTAAGTTCTTTAACACATAAATATAAACGAAATAATATATATCAATAGATATTTGTTTTATAATTACACTAAATTCAAAAAATACCTGGAACAGTTTCGAAATACGTCCGACGCCAGATAAAGCAGCTACTGAAAAGGAAAAACTATCAAATGTCAAGTCTGTTCTTAATGACATTCGTTCACAATATACGTCACATGTGACAAACTTTAAAATATGACATATAAAATAAATACCTGTTGCAATTTTAAAATGCTACACAATACACAATATTATCAGAAGAAATATATTTTCTAATTTTAAATATCTTTAAGCAAACAAAATAAATAATTTCAACTTCGTTTAAAGGAACAGGAACGTTATTTAGTAAAACTTATATGTAATATGCATATTCATTTAATAAAAAATGTATACTTAATTGATTTTTAATGCCCGTTTTGACGAAAGAAACTAAATTCTTTACGTAAAATATTGTTTACAATAGAGAGCTTTTTCTCGAACAGTAGTAAATCACAACAACAACTTTTTTTTTAATTTATATAAACAAAAATTGAAATACAATTGATATAATAATAATTGGCTTAATAATTTTTAATTCTGGCTTTTTGTCATTTTATTTCATTCCGCAATAATAATACTTAGCAGTCCAGTAAAAAAAAATATCGTAAAATAAATTTAACTACTGTATTCCTACACTTAAGCCAACATCCTGTTTGTCAGATAGTTTATTTAACATACCAAAAAACTGGTTCATCATTTCCAAATCTTAACGATCTAATACTCTGCCATGTTTTTCCTTGTTATATATAAAAATCTAAAATTGTTTAACACCAAGTGGGTTTCGTATTGTATACTTAGAAACATTTTTACAAATTTATTTAATTCCTACATTACGAATCAATTTTTCTTTTAAGGCACTTGGAGAGGGTAATATAGCGTTTACACTGATCGCAAATGATTCATTTCGAATCAGTCATTTGAAAGTGTTTACATTAGTTGTTATTCATTTGTTCTCATTGCAAACAGCTGATTTTTCAACGTTCCTGTTGAAGGTAAAATAAACCTTAAAGTAAATACTTTTTGGGAAGTAAAAGTTACAAAAAAAGGTGCATCATTTTCCAGGAAATGCAATCATCAAATATTTATTTACCTCTGTGTGCAAATATGTCAAAAACAGCTTCCTCAAACTGTCAAAATGCCATGAAAAACTTTTATTTAAGGTGTGTTCAATATATTCATATGCATTTGGAACTCATTTAAAACTCGTAACTCATTTATACAAAATGAGATCTATTGCGCGAGCGTAGATTCCATATGCGCATATGAGATTTTGTATGCAGAAATCAGTCTTTTGCTTCTCGTTTGTAATTTTTGACCCAAATGAGTAATTTAAGGCCAGTGTAAACAACATATAAGGCTTCAATAGATTAAAAATCATGATGATAGAAAGTTGATTAATTTAGATAAAATATTTCACAGAACTTTTATATTTAATTAAAATATTCCGACAGTATAATAATGTATATATATATAATATAGATATGTATATTATTATATTTCATATTACAGTTACTAATTGTTTTTAAAACAAGTATATAGAATCGTCAACATAGTAGATTTATTACAAACTTAATAGTCCCCAAAACATAAATAGAGCATATATATAAATAAAGCATATATAGAGAAAAAATAAAGTTTATTTAATTTTTGACATTACTACCATTCCGATAATAGTTTTCTATTGTTTATCCAAAAAAAAAATTTAATTTATATTCATTCTTTATACATACATTATTTTAATAAAATGAAGTAAACATTGCTCAAAGCTAAACGTAATATAAAATAATATCAAAATTGTATTAATTCTTATTTTATATATTTATATATTAATAGAGTAATAATGTAATTATAAATTACATCTAACTTAAGTTTATAGAAGCTATACCTACTTGTCCGTATGCTTCTTCTTATTTTATATTTAAGTTTGTATTTTGATTTTCTCTGCAAAAAATACAAACTTTTTCGCAATTTAAGCGTTGCCACATTATTCTACAAAGTGAAATGCTTGTTCTATTACTGGTTGAAATGCAAATACATGTGCAGCAAAACAGCTGACCCGTTCTACCTTACGGAAAACATGCATTTTGTCTGTATTTAGTATTAAAAACACTATAAGAACTGTTCTCTTACGTACTTGTAGTAAAATTCCAGTAAAAAATTATTTAAATTGTACAATTTTCTGTTCCCTGTTCTTTGTTTTCTGATTTCTAATTTAATTGAATCGAAAAATGTTGATTATTTTAATCAAATTAATGAAGAAGCTAAGCCAATAAATGAACTATTAATTTTATCTATAGGTGCTTTCGGCCACTCGCAAGTGCAGCAAAAAACAGCAAGTAATATTCCACAGAATATGATATATAAATCAAATAAATTTATTGTCTTAATTAGGATTGAAATTTTGTAAAAAATACTTATAATATTTTAAAATCATCATGCTTTTTTAAACAAAGAGCTGAATGGGAATATGAAGGTAATCAACTAGATTTTTACTTGAGAGCACTACTGTACTTTCTGCGTAAACTGCTTTTCTCAAATAGGGCTTGCGGGCTTTCTCAATATATTTACTTTTAGGTTTATATTACTATTACTTTGAAGTATGGGTTTATTACTATTCACGTGTAAACGTAGATCAAAATATCCAATAAAAAATCGCGACGTGGCAATTCAAAATAGAGCATGAGATGTCATTTTTGAATTTAAATTTAATAAGAAATATTCTTTAACATATATTTAAGTTTGTGATATATAACTATCTCAAAATAGTAATACGTAAAGTACTGGTATTATTCGGATTGTTTTTTTCTCTAAACTATTACGTGCGCATAGTTTTTCCAAAATGCCAAAAAGGGGGCCAAAGGGTAAGGTTAGAATTATAAAAGTTCCCGTACCAATAGATGTGGAGGAGAACTCCAATGATGATGATGATGTCTTGGAATTGGTTGATAGTAAAAAGTTGATGGACCAAATTCGTGCAAGGCGTTATGATTTGGGCTTAAATACACTCACAACTGAAGCGTGTATAATTTTGGCAAAGCACATCGATGAATATCTTCAATTTGTTTTGAAGGAATCGTTGAAGCTAGAAAAACAACGTAAAATATCAATTGAGGTTTGTCAATTGTATATCAATGATTTTGAAAAAACAAAGTCATCTATAAATAAATATATTAATATATCATCTTTAAATATATATTAAATATAAAGGATGAGTCGCTGCGCACAAGATATAATGAAGTTAGAGGGAAGCTAATGTTTATGGATGGCGTACTTAAAACAAAAAAGAAACCCAAACCAGTTAATAAAATACAAAGAGTATGAACTTATTGCTTATTTGCAGTTACCTGGCATGTATGACAGTTCTTAATATATTCTAGGGGTTCCAAGAGAAAACAAATATAAGGCTGACAAATGAAGCAATACGAAGGGCTATAAGAGACCATAAAAAGGTGAGTTATTTTAAATGTCTTTTAATAGAACAACTGTGAATAAGTTTAAATAAGTTTGATTGCTAGGTTATAGATAGAGCATTTAAATCGAACTTGTTAACTCATTCCTTGGTTAAGTTTTACTTATTATATATAGTACAGATGTTACCAAGCTTGATTCAAATACCTTAATTGTATTCAGTGACTTACAGTGACTTTACACTTTTGCAATTAACTTTCGCGGTTGTGTGGTAACCTGCAGAGATCCGCTGGCATGATTCCTTCTGGGAATGGTGAACGGCAATCAATATAAGCAAATATATACTTACATTTTTAGATGTACTTAAGAATAAAAAAAACCGTAACAAAGCTACAAGCAACACGATGAAGGAACACCTTAAACAAATTCTCAATAACTTAACTAAACAATAGGATTTTAACAAGGAACTCAAACAAAGATTAAATAAACTTGAATTCAGAAAAAGCCTTTTCCAAAAGCAACATCCATCTATTGTTTACCGGCATACATTATTTCACCTAACGATAAATCTAACTATAAATCTCAAGTGGAGTGAATCAATCGTTGGCTACGAAAAAAATTTGATATCACATAATAAATGTGAAGTTTTGACTACATTCAAACTGAATGCGAATGTATGCAGATAAGGAGATTATATTATCTTGATGTTGTAGGCAATCTTCTGTTAGATAAAGTCACTCGGAAAAGTAATCACAGAAATATATCCTATATCCTATATGCTACTATATAAAATGTGTAACAGTCTAGACAGGAGCCATGCATCGGTTCTGGTACAACTTTATAAAAAAGTTTTCAGTGATGATTTTTTTATTGTAATTTTTTTACCTACTGATAGTTAATCAAATTTTGAGGAGACAACTTAGATCACAAAATGCTATTTAAAGTATTTAAATATTTAAAGAAACTGACCTCCTATTTAGTCCTCAGTCTAAGGGCTAAACATAAACTACAAAAAGCACTGTAAGCATGGAATGCGGGTATTATTATTACATTAATAACTAAAGTACATGAGGTTGAACTCGATGGATGATCATAAAAAGCATTTACTGTTTAATAATACATTGGATTATAATTAGAGCCAGTTTAACAGTACAAAATCTATTGACATCTATATTAGTGGATTAAAAACAGCTGAGAAGATATGTCTAATATCGTAGCAAATATAATAATAGTCTATCATTGCCGTTAAAAGCAGTATTTCACAAAAAATACATTAATGCTGGGCTTGAAATTTGCAGGTATCACTCCCAGCCTTTGTTCCACTGAACTTATGCATGTATTAAATAAGAAGCGTTGCTTTCGATTGAGGTTATGTTAACATTATCTTCATATATAGCAACGTGGAAATGGTATATTAGTTAGGGGTATAACAATATTATTCATTATAATATTATTACAATAACATCATACTAATATCATAATAATATCATTATAATATTATAATATTTATATATAACATAATATATATATATAGTATTTACAATATTAACTTGCATGAAAATTTATTAATAATTATGTTTATGTTTTTAATGAATTTTGGGTTATAGTCTTCCACAGGTTGTGACACACAGCCGATTGGAGTAGCTGATATGCTCTCATTTTTGGAAAGCGATCCTTATAACTTACATAGAAAGACTTTAGCAAAAGTATATGTCAATACCAATCAACGCAAAAATGGAAACGATTTGAAGGATTAACCATTTATTTCGCTCCTTATGATATATAGATGTTAATATATGTTTGTTATCAAATAAATTTGTAAATCGAAAAAATACGTTTTATACAGTTATTATCCGAAGTCACAATATGTACTTACAGTTATTTAATCTTTTAATTGTTTCAATTTGCATATATGAGAATTGTAAATCCACCTTCTCACACTTTCTATAGCCGACATATGTAATATTATATTTTTTTTATAACATATATGACTCAAATAGTTTTTTGTGTTGTAAATTTTAAATTGTAGTCAACCCAAGAAGTGTATTTTGTAGAATCAATATAATGTACTGCATCGCAAGCTGGCGTAATGTTGACCATATTATACGAAGTACACTACTAATTGACTTCTCACCCAGTGTATGCTACAAATGTGGCTTTTAATGACTGTTACAGACACCATAAGCCTTAAAATGATGCTCTATAGAAAGAGTCTTACCATGAACGGAACAGTTACTTTTAAAATAAATTCCTGTTTTCATCTGAAGAAATCGAAAATAAGCAGTGAAAGTATTAGTTCCATATTAAAATGGTAGCACATTCTATGTAAAAAAAAAAATCACTAATCCATTAAAATATATTATATTTTGTTATCATCTGAAGTACGTTAAAGCCCTTTAAATGCTTATCATATCGTCCACACATTCAACGCTGACTATTCATTCATATAACCTTCAGCTAGTTTAGGAAATGTTTTTATATGGTCATAATCCATTCAAAATGTGTACCTCGTTGTGGTAGTTTTAGCTTCAAAAACAGAAACCCGCCATATTGTACCCATCAGTCGTTTACATTATTTGAGTTTTTTCTACAGTAAACTTTTACAGAACAATAGCTTTCTGTGACTGCAATTCAAACGTAAGTACTAATGGCAGAAATTGCTTATAAAAACACACTGGGTAATAGATCATCCTCGAATCTCAAATGGTAAAGAAGTACTATATATGTTAGTAACTTATAGAAAGAAAATGGTAGTGGTTTCTTTTACATTTCTTTTTCAAATGATATATCCGCATAGTTTATACACAGAAAGGATTACAGTTGGAAAAAAAAAATTTATTATGTGCTCAGTCTATCCCAGATACAATAACACTGGTTCCATAAATATTATTAGCGTTGGAATATCTATGAATAAAAGAAAAAAAGTGAAGTGCATGGTGCAAACTTTATCTGCTTTTTGTTTAAATTTGCGCGAATTCGCTTGACATTTTGCTGTCACTTGATTTTTTATGTGATGTCACTCTGTGACTGACGTTTAGTCACAAAAAATACCATGGAATAAATATTAAATCCATTTTAAATTGGGTGAAATTAACGTAGAAATAAACGATATGTTGAATAAAAAGCGTGGGAATAAATATTTATCTCATGCGAAGGTTTTCCGTTGACTTGGAAAACCTATCTACAGCACCTATGTCCTATGAATAATGGTATTTGAATGAAACAAAGAGCTTAGCTTAGATGTTTTCTTTACTAAATGAAGCTTAAGACTAACTTAAAAATATTTTTTCTGCAATACCTTAAAGTCTAAATGTATACTTAAATTCAGTTGACCGTGAAACGTAAAATATCTCACTCAACACATTTTGCACATCAACACATTTTCCCCTAACAATAATAATTATTATTATTATTGCTAGGGGGATGTGACACTGCGACAGTCGGGTCTATTGTTCCCCCTTCTGGGTTTAGAGTAGGTCTCTAAGCCCTGTTGCGTCAATAAAAAGTAGTATAGAACCTGTTTTACAGAGTTTTACTGCCTCTTCCGTAGGGATATGCATTCTCGGGAGCTAAATCCGTATGTGCATTAGCACAAGGCATTCTAACAGCACATGTGTGCCCGACTCCTCATGCTCTTCACAGAATCTACAGTTTGCATTCGTAAGTATACCCAGTCTTGTAAGGTAGTGTTTTTGTTTACAGTGCCTTGTTAAGATTCCTGTGATGATTTCAAGTTTTTCTTTTGACAAGTTCATACAATTCTGGTATCTCTTATTGTTATAGATACCAATAAGTGATTTGGATTGTTTTAATTCTGGTATATTATACCAGTAATCCTTTTTATTCTAGTTCTCTTTCATTTTTATGAGAGAAATATACATAATTAAATATAATATAATATAATATAATATAATATAATATAATATAATATAATATAATATAATATAATATAATATGATTAAAACTTATAATATTCTAACTCGTCCATATATTCCGCAACGGTTATGCGGAATTTAAAAATGAAGAACGACATCAAAATTATATGCAATAAGAAAAACATCGCTTTTCCAACCAATTTGGCTCATCGAAGAGGAAACTGGGAAAGTCAGACTTATCGGGGTTTGACCACTTGACCGAAGACCGAGATTATGTTTACATTATTTTCATATATAGCAACGTGGAAGTGTTTGCACTACATTATATATATTATATATAAGTCATATTAATTCGATGTATGACTATATCACTCATATATATATATATATATATATATATATATATGTTGTTGAATCTTTTGCATCTGCGAATCCCACCCATCTCACTGACTAATTTGAGTATTGCTCATAATCGTCGTGATTATTCAACGATTGAGCTAAGATCTACGTACCGCGGTTAGTGATTACTCTGAGATTAGATAGTGCTAACTAGGCCATCCTGCCGGTTTTCGCATATAGCTTCAAAGTTCTGTCCCTTATGTATTTTTTGACCGGATCTATTCTAAGGTCTCTTAGTATGTCATATATATTTAAAAAATATTTATAATATTTATTTGTTCATATTTGTGTTTGTTTCTTACGAATTTTGTGTTATAGTCTTCTACAGATTGTGACACACAGCCGATTGGAGTAGCTGATATGCTCTCATCTTTGGAAAGCGACTTGGCATACTATGTGTCATACGAACAAATACACTGTAAAATACGGTTAAAGAGACTAAAGAGTTTGATGGTGTGAATAATTTGATTTGAAATCATGTATTATAATCATATATTCTATAATAGCATTATTATTTATTTGTAAAAAGACACATAAAATCTGTATTTATTGATCTGAACATTGTTTAAGTTCACAATGAAGTTTCATACATACATACACAAATGTGTTTTTGAAGTGAACTCAATAAAGCGAGTTAAAGATTGAATGAAAAGATTTATCCATAAAATATTTATAGCAATAGTTGATTGATATTTATTTAAATCTGAACTTAATAACAATTGATTTTGATTTCGCTTAATATTTATATTTTGCCCTACCACTTTAAGTACCGAAAATTCCCCATTAGCAGTCGTTTTATGGTTCAACCATAAAACGGCATGCAAATTAGTCTGCCCCGAGGCTTTCCAATGCTGAATGCTGAATTCATAAATGCATCTGTATGCGTGTATCTGGTGTATCTGGTGTATCTGTGTGAATGACATATTCACAATTCTCGCTCGCTACTGACGCTACGGTCGCTACTGTTGTAAGTACAAATCTATCCAGCTTTAACCTGCAGCTGCCTAATGTCAGTGTGAAATTTTTGCATAATTTAAAATCTATCTTTTTTGTGTTATTATGTGTTTGCATTATTTTCGGGTTTTTAAATAAAAAATCGTGTGATTTTATGCTTCATTGAGGATTCGCCAAAAAATTTTACTATTTTACTGGCTAACAAAAATATTTGCAAAAAGTTTTAACTAAAAACTTTTTAGACTTAAATTATGAAAAAGTTTATTTTAGAATTTATTCCGCTTTTTTCCTAGTGTTTATTTTATATTGTTTGGCTTTTTACTTTGTTGCAACTAATTTTTCGGTTTTAAAATTTTTTTTTTGCATTTTCATCCTTTTCTTTTCCTTTTTTGCAATTATATTTGAATGTCCTGCTCTTATAAAGTTTATGAATTTTATGCCAGGTTATGTTGCAGTTGTGCTTTGATTCTTTTGCGTTCTAACAAAAAAATTGAATATTGCATTATTCAAACTAACACTTTTTATAGATTAAATCATCAAAATAGATGTTAGTTAATTTTGTAGATATATTGAACTTTTTTCAAAGTTTCAGAGCTTTAAATAAATATCGATTCAAGTTAATCATTGTATATCATTGTATAGTCGGAAAAATAATTTAGTTAATTTAAAGAGATTTTAACATCTCAGGTGAAAATACACTTACTCGACACATTTACTCCGCATTAGCTAAAATTTCTCCAACAAAATGAAACAAACAATATTAAAATCTTGTGTTTATATATTATGCCCTATTAATTATCTTTCAGAACTAAGTAGTTATTCTTTGATCCCTTTGAATCACAACCTTATGTTCCAAGTAGCAGTAGTTGATAAAAACTATCCTCTCTTAACTATAATTTTTAGTTCCCTAGCAGTTTAAACATATTAATCTCCCTCTTTGAAATCACAAATTGAAACTAAGCGGAGATTGATTTAATAAATTTAATCTTCTCTTCTGCTTCTTAATCAAAACCTATTTCTTCTACTGACTTTTCCCATTCTCTCATCAATCATTGATCTTAGTTTCTGCAATCTATTTTTCCTTTTCATATTAATTTCCAACATATTTTTCTGTATTTGTAAGTTCAGAATTTTGATCACATATCAGAAGTATCTCAATTGACAGTTATTGCCATGCCTTATTCTATGCCTTATTTCGTTGTGTATACGTTCCCATAGAGTAAATGTGGTTTCGATTTGCACCAGTTAGTCAATATTTTATTAATAATTTTTTTTACATCTAATAGGTATATGGTTCTTATTGATATTACACAACAAGCTCAAATCTCATCTCTTCAAATTATTACATTACTTTAGAATGTGACCGAGAATGTGGCCTCATATCTGAATTGCTATATAAAATGGTTATTGTGATTATTAATACAATGTTTTTATTATATTCATTATACACTAATTATCTCTTCAAGTGCTTTCAATTTCAGGTACAATAATCTTTTGCTTTGTCGCAATTGTCTATAGCTTTTACTTTCAGTTGTTGAGGTTATGATATTGTGGAATCTCAATAAGCCCACGTTTCTTGAGTAAGCTAAGTAAAACTTATAAAGTCAACTTTTCATAATTCGTCATTGTGCTGAGTAGCACTACCTACGTTTCCTTTGTTGAATTCAAGCTATTATGTGAGGAAAGCAGTCTTATATGTACCTCTGCGTGCCATTGCAACTGAAATAAAAGGCTTTTTAGTTTTTAACATACATTATGAAATAAATAAATTCTTTGAAAAAATAAAATTATAAATATAAAAGTAGCACTCTGAAGTTCTTGTATCAAAAGTCAACACACAAGGATTTTCTAAACAGCATTGCTGTAGAGGAATTGTTAGATGCCTCTTAACGTTGTTGGAATAGTAAGTTCAGTGATGTCAAGTTTAAATGGAATAAAAACTTCAACTGAACAAAAATTTTTCACTATAAAAGTACACAGACTCATAAAAACCAAGACGAATCACTCCTTTGAAAGCACATTAACGACACCTTCAAGAAAAACTCGAGGTTAACTTGTATTGGCCACAGCTTCAAAGGAGCGATCAGATGTTTTGTTTATAGCACGAATACGAATAGAAACTGTAGTTAACACGATAAAACTATTTATTAAATTTTTTTTTTTTTGCTTTTTAGTTAACTTTATATAGATGTTTTAGATTCGTTTAATCAATTTCATGTGTACTTAGAACTTTGTGCTGAAGAATAAAATATTTAATATTCTGAAGGCAAGTTTATAGAGTGCGAACTCGTACAGAAAGAACAGAAGGCATAGTTATTGCATTTTATGGATTAAATTTAAAGGAAAATTTGTAACGAAGTCATTACAGAATATTGTCATTTATATTATATAGAGTAGACGTACTAACTCGAACCTCAGTTGGTTAACCCTGTTTTAGTACAAAAGTTCTCATAAAATATTAAATGACGGAAAGATTCAATACTGGTGTCAGTATTATCAGTACCTTGGGAGAGATTTTACTGGCCTTCTTAATTAATATTGGAAAATCGAATATATTAACAATCAATAAAAAGTACACTGTTACTTAAAATCAAATTGAAATCAAAATAATTTCGCAGATATAGCGATTTCAGATATATCGTTGTACGAGGTAAAGAGTTATTGACTTCGGAACAAAGTCAGATTAGAATGTAAAGTGAAAAACATTCAATAAATAACTTACTTGCTGCATTAGAATAAGTATTACAGAGTCTTCTTAACTTTAGTGCGATTGGAATTAAGTGCCGCTATTGTTAAGACTTCATATGATACATGCTTGAGGGAATTAAAAACGAATAATATATTAAGTATTTTTTTGTAACATTATATATATAATCAAGAGTTCGTTGTATTCTAGATACTTGAGATATACTAAATATTTCAATTTAATAGATTTTTTGCAGTCAGTGTAAAGTTTTTTTTTTTTTTTGATTTATCTTGATAAAACTTTACTTTGCTTTTTCGTTTCTTACCTGAGTCTAATTCACATTATAGAAAATATTATAATATCTGGTATTCATCAAGTTTTTGTTATAATGACGCATTCCCTAGTCTTCTTCTTAACCCCAGTCTTCTAAAAGTATACTTCCCAAACTAGTAAAACTCTCAGTATCTGCAATTGGTATACCATCAACTGAAAGGCAGTAAGAGTTATCGGTTTTAAGGCGCAAGGATTCTATTATTCGTATGTTTATTTTTAAGCTGATTTTGCTGATTTGTGTTGCTCTTGGTTGAGTTTTAATTACACGTGATCATAACAGTGAGAGAGCAGAACAACATTATCTGCATATTCTAGATTCACGATGGTTGAAATCGAAATGTAAAGTATTACATATTGGAAAACTAAGCGAACCATTCACCACAACAACGGGTGTGAGACAAGTTTGTATATTATCGCCAATCCTATTTATTGTCGTTCTGGATTGGGTGTAACATATCTTTGACTCACAAAACAGAGGTATTCAATCCTAGAACAACAATATGTAATCTGTTGCACTCTGATGTCAGTTGTGCCACCTTTCCTGCTTGATATAATGTCCAAACATTCCACTGAGCAAATCGAGTCTTTTTTCGTGAGCCATTGTATATCATAAATAAATTCTATTTTTATTATAAGAAATTATAAAAGTAAATTAAATTTTTACAACCTCTATGATTTTTTTCTTACTGGTTATTTTTGGTGGAAAATTAAAAGTGAGCATATCTATATTTCCTTTTAAATTTAGCACAACCAAAAAGTACCAAAAAGTAGTAAAAGCACAAAATTGGCAATACTGCTGTGACACTCCACATAATATTCATTTTCAGCGTAGACCAAAAGAACCATTTTTGATGTGCTCGTAATATTACATAACATGGTCCTAATAATTTCAAAAAAAATATATTATAGGTGTGGATAATAAGAATTATATATGGACACATATTCCTTGAAAAATTGTGTCAAATTTAAAAACTGTGACGTGTTCGACAATTGAATGTCAAAATACAAAATTTTACATTTTCTCATAATTCATTCTGCAGTCGTTTCGTTCTGACTTAAGGTATGTCTATATTATACAATTTTTACAAGTAATTATAAAATATAAAATAAATTCTTTATTCTTTATTAGAAAAAATTATTACTGATAATTTCTCAGTCATTTCATTAGTTCTAGGAAGTTATTGCTCTCTCATAAGGAGTTCTTTTGCTCACATTCTTTGCGACTTTAGTAACCATATAGCATCACACTAATTTTGAGTTAAGAACTTACTTAATGGTCGAGTACTCATCTGTTGGATATATTTTAAGTACAGTTCGTTTAAATTATTTTCGAAACAATAAAACAACGAAAAATAGGATAAATATATATTACATACACATATATAGATATGCAATCACTATCGTAGAATACAATACACTTACAAATATGAAAACTAATTAAAAGTGTAATATTTACAAATTTTTAGCGATTTCCTTTAAAGATGGATACAGATAATCAACAAATCCAAACTAATATTGTGTCTATCATTCAACGTGGTCATGAGATTAATTCACGTGCAACAAATGTGAGTGCATCAGAAGAAATAATTCCAGAAGCACCTGATAATGGAACTGCAGTGTTGACTTCTGCAGTCATAGCTCCACAAAATAACCAAATCCAATTCTCGACTGAGAAAGATTGTGTCATTTTAGATGCTGGTGCTGTTAATTCAGACGGAGCCACTGAACATGCACTGGAAGAATTAACTCCAGAAGTGCTTAGTGATCAAACTGAAATGTTAAATTTTGAAATCCCGATCCAAAAACATGACCAAAACCAATACTCAACTGAGAAGGATTGTGTCCTTTTAGATGCTGGAGAAGTCGATTTACACGGAGCCACTGAACATGCACTGAAAGAAATAGCTCCAGAAGTACTTGGTGATCAAACTGAAGTGTTGAATTTTGAAATCCCGATCCAAAAACATGACCAAAACCAATACTACACTGAGAAGGATTGTGTCATTTTAGATGCTGGAGAAGTCGATTTATACGGAGCCACTGAACATGCACTGAAAGAAATATCTCCAGAAGTACTTGGTGATCAAACTGAAGTGTTAAATTTTGAAATCCCGATCCAAAAACATGACCAAAACCAATACTCAACTGAGAAGGATTGTGTCATTTTAGATGCTGGAGAAGTTGATCTACACGGATCCACTGAACATGCACTGAAAGTGTGGAGTGAGAGGGATAATTCCATTCTACAATCTGGTGAAGCCCAGACCCAAATTAATAACGAAAAGCCATACGCCACTGTTGAAGTCAATGCCTTTCCACAAGTTAGTGCGAATAATCCATTTGCAGCATGTGAGATTGCATGGCAAAAAATAGTTCAAGAAGCACTTTCTGATGAAAATGAAGTACCGGACAATGAAAATGAACTATACGGGAACATTGAAGTCTGTACAATTCCTCAAGCTGTTGAAGTTAATCTACATTCTGCAAACATGTGTGTAAAGGAAGATATGGTCCAAGAAGCATCTGTAAATCACAATGAAATCTTAACTACTGCAGATCAACCCAAAAGTGAAGACCAAAAGCAATATTGGACTGGAAAAGACAATGCCATTGCACAGGTTAGTGCGATTAAACCACTTGCAGTCCGTAAGGATTTATGGCCAGCAATAGCTCAAGAAGCAGTTGTTGAAGACGAAAATGAAGAATTGACCACCACATCCAAAGTTCAAAATAATATTTCAAACCAAAACGGACTAATTACAAGAAACGCTATTCCACAGGCCGGTACATCAGACACATTTATTGCAGACAGTCATGCAAGGGAGGAAACATCCATTTATCATAATATGCAAAGCAGCGTTGGTACATTTATTATTCCTGAACCTCGTCCACGAATTTGGACTCGTAGGGATACTCCAGTTAAGATTTGCAATAATCGTACAGCAAAAAAACCTAGAAAGAATTAAAAAAATATTTTTATTATGGTAAGACTGTAAATATTATGTTGAGAAAAAACCCAACAATTTGTTTAAGTTGATATTTCTTATCATCTAATGTAGTTTATGTGCGGCAAGCCCTACAACTCTCGACTTTGGTGGGATCTTTTGCGAACGTCTTAATTCCTAAAGCATCGATCGATGTATATATGATATTCTAAGTACAACTTGGATGTAATACGCTGAAACATCAGCTCACATTAATAAGATGCAAAATAATACACAACTATATTGATAGGGAAGGCCGAACATTTTTTATATTAATTTTAATTTTTATTATTTGCGTTTCAATTGGATTGAATATTTAATTATATACTAAAGAAATTTAACCGTCAGATGAGAAATATTTTAATTAAGCTACTCTTGTTACTTCATTTCAGAATTCCAATAAAATTAATTTTTGTAGAAAGTGTTTTATTTTTCTGGATATATAAATGCATCTTTATATTATAACGTCCACAATTTTCATATATTTATTTATTTATATATCTGTCTATGTCTGTCTCTTTCTTATGAATAAGAATAAAATTTGCGATACTGTGTTGTGAGGGGCTATAACGTTTTGGAAGTCGTGACACATAATACACATACAAATTTCCGAGAATCTTAAGTCTATAAGTAGCGTTTGCGTTGGATTGATTGATTTTATATTGTAAATTTTTTTAAAATCTATCCATTATTCGTAAGACAATGGCATTGCATTAATGTTTTTCAAATTTGTTAAGTTTTTTCAAAGTTCTTCTATTATTAATAAAGATTTTTTAAACAATTATCCAAAAAGGATATAATAGGAAAACAAAAATAGATACTATATAGATAATACAGCATAAGCAACCACCAGAATCCGAATTGTACTCCAGCCGATAAATTGATCGTCAACTAGTATAATATATCAACTTAAAAAAATATAAGATTGGAATAATCTAACTCATCTCTTCATTGACAATATATTCAAGTGTACTCTCCCCTAAAAAAAGAACGATCCCGGCTGCACCACTGAGACTGTTGGTATATCCTTGACTTCTGGGTGATTGGTTTAGGGGACATATTCCTCTATTACCAATATAATCTACATAAATTTACAAAAAGCTGTGAAAAAAATTGATTTTCTAGTATATCCTCTACTTGGAACTGTACTGGCTTTGCTACTGAGACTATAAGTTCATCATTACTTTCTGATTGCAATGTTTTTACAAATCATTCCGTAAGAGCAGTTTTAGTGGGTTATAGTTTAACGCTATGATTTGATGCTTTTTGTCTACCGAGAAAAACTATATTAGATACTATATTACGACCATAAGTAGACCTATAATAAAGAACAGCTTTTTGGAAGTACAAAACAACTCGATATCGAAAGAATATGATTAAGTATTTTGCATTGAACCACTTGTAGTCATAATGAAAAAATAAATGTAGGGCTAAACTTACAGTGCTTTAAAAAATAAAATTATCAGTTATGAAACTTTGTCTTATGTATAATCTAATATATTATATCTCATACATAATAAAAATTAATACAAAATTTTCAATTTTTAATTTGAACACATTTACTTAGTAAGAGAAACAACTACAGATTTAAGTTTTGGAGTTTTAAGTTACAATAAATTATGCTTAGAATTATTGAAATATAGAAAAAATATTTTATAATAGTAGTATTTATAAAATATCTGTAATAGTATTGTTCCTTCCAAAGTATCACAGAAAGTTAAGCTCTGGTGGTATAAATATTGATGTATTTAATAATCGGACGCTTTGGCTCGCTTTGGCTCCAATGATGTTCCTAATTTTAGTTATTAGCGTAGGTTATCTCAAGTGAATACATTAAATAGATTTAGGATATGTTAAGGAAAAAGCAGCGTATTACTGAAAAAGATATACCATATTAATGATTAATGATGAGTACATATGGAGAAGATATTCACTCAAATACAAAAGAAAAAATTTCTTACCACACCTTTTGGTTATTCCGTTTTTAAATATTTTTAACGATGATCTTCTGAAATGTAATTTGAATACCTAGAATATATACCCGCATTCTCTAACTCCTCATCTGTGGCAGATCCGTTGCATAGAGGGCTTGGAACAAGTAAAACAGCTGGAACACGTGCCACATCAGGTTCAACAACTAATGGAGGCGGCTCAATAACAATTTCATCCAAGCCTTGAACGTTGTTCGGATTTAAGTCACCATTTACTACTATTTCTTGTTCAGGTGCTTGTTCACGCTGTTCTTGCGGATCAACAATTTGAATCTCTAAGTATTCATACACATCACCATTAACCCCGTTAACGGCATGATCGTCATTATTGGGAATATTTTGATTGAGGTTTTCATTATTAGGATCCATTGCTACGAGGAAAAACTGCTTATCTTGTAGATGTAAGAACAATTTTTTTATTTGATTTCTTATATTGCACTATGTGACAGTTCTGAAAATTTTAGGGCAATGCCAGCTTAAACAAAATAAAAAAATTATAAATTATTATATATCAGAATTTCACGCCACATATTGTCTGTCTTCACAGTTCAATTTTCAGTTTTTGTCCATTTTTCCAGTTCAATTTTGAACTTTGTCCAATTTTAGTTGAGAAATTACAAATTGAATTTAATTTCTCAAATAATTTGTTTCCCGAATTGTTTATTTTCTTTATTTGAAACGTATATATTTTCCCTCGCAGTTTTATTTTCTCTTCATATGTGTGCAAGTTGGAATCATAATTGCCATATTGAAATTTTATGAAACACCATTTACCATGCCAAGTGACTTAAAAACTAGTACACGATTCTATCAAATACCTTTGTGTGGATTTTGTATGGTAAGCGTATCTGACGCTATATGTTACACTTATTGAGATAACTCCGAAGATGAGTTAAGCACAATGGAGTACCTAAACATACTCTCCTGTTGTGAATTCACATACCCACTGTTGTTGGACGGGCTATGGCGTCAATTAAATAGTTGTACTCACCTCGCTAAGATATTGGCGAATTAAACCAAGTAGTGATTTGCTCGTTGTCTAGTCATGGTGAATGTTATTCCTGATGCACCTAAGCATCATAGTTATTTTTTAGGAAAAGCAACAAAAGCAATAACAATTTTCCTAACATAATAGTAGTTATGGGTACCCAGATAGTAGTTTATAGAACGTCGGCACTTTTGGCTATGGGGTTTTTACCATACAAGTTTTGTATATTCAAAACTCATATATTACTATTAATTATTCTTGTAAAATATATCTGAACAATGTTCATAACTCTGCAATACTGTAGTTCACAAATTTAAACTATATGTAAGTAAGTTTTGGATAAAATTATTATATAACAGCTTAATTATGAATAGACACTATTCACCTATCGTCATGCGTTCAGTGAAGTCACTACGTTGAAAATTTTATAAAATCAGTCCAATCCGATTTCAGTATAAAATTAACTGATCTATGCTAGGTACAACTGATCTACTTTGGACGCGGTGTCTTTAGGTCTCAAAAATTAATAGTATGCTTTACGTCGTTGTTTTTAATTTAATTTTATTTTTATTTTATTTCTATTTTTATATTATTTTTAGTTATTCATTTGTTTATGTATTTGTTTGTCCATTTATTTCTAGTAGTTTTGAATGTGGGGGTAGATATGCTATTCTCTATTTATGTTAATTTCTGTTTCTTGTTGTTGAAAAATATTTCTGGGCAGTGTTAGTGGCAATGTACTTAGGGCATGGAAATGAAGCCATGAGGGTAACGGAACTTCAATTTGACAATTGGGCGACTGGAGGTCTGGACTTTAACACAAATGGAAAAATTGATTGAAGTTTATTTAAATTAATTACAGTTTTATTGGTTTATGTTTATCGAATATATTAAAATACCTGTCATAGGAATGACTATATATGAAGTAACGAAATAAATAAAATATGTTTATTTGAAAAAAAATCAGGGATAAAAATTACATGTCTGTTACTTTATTAAAGTTTAAATAATTTTCATTAATAAATCTATTTTACTTACAAAGTCACATTCATGTTTAAATACTTAAAATCTTATTTGGAGATTGTTTCAATTAGAATGACCAACCATTTAAGATATACAAATGAAATAAATTAAAATCAAGCACAATAATTAAATTTTAGGAATTCATAGAAATATTTAATTAATTTAGTTTCCATATTAATATTTTACTAAGGGTTTAATAAACAATATTCTTACTGGTGCGAAAGCCTATTATGCATTTTCAAGCATTATCCTCGCAGAAGGACACTATACACTGGCTGGCCGTGAGTGTGTGATTGCCTTAGATGTTCGGTTAGTTATGCCAATGGTATCAGCATTTGCTTCACAGCACATATGCAAATATTCATATATATGAGCAATTATTTACTTATATAAAATATATATATATATAAGTTTGTGTATATGGGAATGTATTTAATATACTTGAATTAATTACAAATAGATTTTAAAATCATATTCATCTTAATGAAAATGTGAGATTCATTTGAAAAGGTCAGCAGCTCTCTTCATCTGGCAAATGTACAGAACAGGCAATTCACATAACTGAAAGCACATTAATAATTTGATAAATTGCTGGAAGCAAAGGAACATGCATCAGCTCTACTTCACTGTTTTCAACTTTAATACGATGATATTATTATGTATTTAATTAATGAAAATAATTCATGCCATTTTATAAGAGTACTTTAATTTCGACTCCATTCAACAGTATTACTACTTGGGAACGTGTTATAAGCTCTTCGGGTTTACTGATGGTTTTCTAGTTCACTTTAATAATAAATTTTTGTCTCTTTTCTAACTAAATTTTAAGTACATTTAAGTACTATTTGCGTAATTAAATAAAGTAAAATAATAACGTTTTACTTAAGCAAGTATTATGAGATTAATTGCAGTTTATTTTATTTTAACTAATTAAAAGATTTATTATGGTACCTTCTAACTTATTAAAAGCATTTACTCTTAACACCATAAGTTGATTAACAAATCAAATGATAAAGTATTGAAATCGAAATTAAATACCGCATTAGGGTTAAGGTTAGAATAGGGGATATAATATTTCTGAAGTAAGGTCTGCCTGTATTAAAAAGCGATGAAAATACACTAGGCACCACATTGTGCTGATTAGAAGTATAACAAATAGGTTTTTACTCGCCACATCTCACCGAAGTTGAAATTTAATACTACGGAATTCAGCTGCTAGTAACTTTAGTTGTCCTGCGTACTAGATTGGTTTTGTATAACAGAGCGTTTATTTGCTCATTATCTTAATACTTGTAGCAAGAGCACCGTAGTGTCTAGCCCTCGCGGAAGGTAACTACTTAAATCAACTACGCACTTAAATATCTCTCTTGGTAGGCACTACAGGCAAAAATGCCGGACTTCCATTAACGAGTTAGCTAAGTATATTAGTCTTTAACTCACATGGGTTCCTGAACATAGAGATTTCTCGGGAAATTGTCGGGCGGACCTCATGTGTGAATGTCCATCTTTGGCTTGTAGAAAATTTAAAATCTTCGAGTTCCTTTTTCTAACCTGACCTGTTCAAACTGCCATCCTGTAAAATTAGCCAAGCTTATAGAATTGTCAGGTTGATTCAGTTTTACCTGAATAGTGGAATCGTACTTTTCGTCTTTGCTCATTTCTGACCTCTAGCCTGCGTATGAACGAACGCTAATATGTGGTATTAAAACGGGCCATTATTTCTGTTCAAGTGAGCTTTGAACTTACAACCGCCACTCCAACCTTCCTTACCATATATCTCTTCTAAAAATTTCTTTGCAACTGATACGGATCTCGCAAAAATGTCAGAGCTATCTGCGAATGTTCATATTCTAGACCCTTTTTTAAAGTGCTTGAGTTTCAGATTGCTTACCCAAATTCAAAGTTAAAGAAAAGACAGGCCGCAACATTCTTTAATGTGGATTCGTTAAAGGTGTTGATTGTTTTGGGATAGCAACTCAATAATTTTTACGTGTTTGTTTGTTGGGATTATTAAGTTTAAACATTGCTCTTTATAATTCTACTATGACTATGCTATCATTTTTCCAGGAACTATAAAAGTATAAAAGGTTCGAACATGGTTTTTTTATACAAAATTATAACAAATTCATTTATTTTATTATAAAAAAGTTATCTGGTGATATTTAATTAATCAACAAACTTTGTCTTCATTCAATTATTGTCGGAACTGACATTGATGGTTAGAAAAATATCCTCATAAGGAAATAAATTTTGTCAAACCAGAATGTATGTACATAGTATGTCCTTTAAACTTCTATTAAATTTTTTAAATTTGCGAATTTAAATGCGAATCCATCATCTCCTGCCCGCCGCCCTGCTGGTGAACAAATGTGCATAAATAAATAATTAATTAACGTCTCGAAGTGTCATAAATTTTCAATATGAATTTGTCACATTCAATATTTTTTGTTGAATGAAAAAAAATTCCTGTGACTTCCTTTATTTTGCAATTTCATATTGTCGTTTACAATTTGACAGACAGTCATTTTAAATTTATGGAAAAATATTTAAAATTAATGAAACGTGAAGTGAAAAGTGCTGCATCGAAAAAATTGTGATTTCCGCTTTTTATCTTTCGCATTGCGAGTATTTTTGGCAGAAAAGCATGTCAAATGTCGACTTTTCAGCTAAAATGAAGACTTCAACTTGTAGCTCAATTAATCGTTAGTGTGCATAGTGATTTTTTGTGGTTGCGAAGCGTTTTTTATGGACTTCACCGCATTGTTATTATGGTCATTAATATGGTTAAGCGGGACCAGTAAAGTTTTATGGTTGCCTTTGCTGAAGTGAATCTTGCTGCGTTTGGAACAATTTAAAATGCTCTGCAACAATAGATTAAATTATTTTTACGAGAATCTTTGGTGAAATATGTGCTTATAGCGAATATGACAATGACGTCGTAGACTAAATGGCTTAATTCACACAGAGATTCCGCACCAGAACAGTCTGTAGAAACTAACCACATTAACGCAGTGTTTGCTGTATTCTAGGTTTGGGAAACGTTACACTCATAAAAATAATTTAGTTTATTTAACCAAATTTTAACTAAATCTCAGGTCAAAATATTCTTACTCAATTCATTCTTCTGAGTGTACTAATTATAATGTATCCGTCAATTATCAAAATAAAAACTGTGCTGTTAACATAGCTTAAGAATAAAATCTTCAAAAAAAACCACCATTTATGCATATACAATAGTAAGTACTAACACCATCTAGTGGCAAAAAATCGCGAATACATATCAATATTACTTGCCAACCCAGTTCCGTATACAAGTGCGTTTTGGTTATGGTCTTATTTTTGTTGATATACTAATTATTTCTTTTAAATCTCGTTTTTATCGTTTCTCTATATATGACAGGATTCGATTATGAAAATCATGATTCTGTAATGCTATAATGACCGTGTATATATGTGGAAAAAAGACATCGACTTTGATCCCTTTAAAACTTTTGTCGTTTGATATGGATGGATCTCTCTATTTAGTGAGAGATGCTATGTTAGAAGTTCCCGAGTTAATTGCTCTGTTAGTCAATTTCTTTTCTGTTAAGTTACTTACTTAGCTCTTCTTTCACATAGAGCGTAATGT